AGTCCTGCAACATCAGTCTCCCCAATCCCATGATTGTCATGACAGCAGCATTCTACCCCACTCCAATCCTGTTCCCCAGAGAAGAGCACCCATGAGGTATTGCAAATAATGCTTTCTTCTTTTTTCAGCAAAGGCCACAAATAAAAACCAGGAATGAGTAGTAGACATTTCTGTATTTTGGGTTTTAATGCTGTTAGAAATGCCCTGAAAGCTCTCCCTAGATGTCTAAAAAGTCCCTTTCCCAACTCAAGCACAGAGCATGATCTATTTAATACGATTTTGTGCTTATCGCCAGAAGGTGATCATCACTAATTTGTCTTTGAAGTTGGAAAGAGAGATGACAAGTTGATTTCTTGTGGATTTTGCTCTAAAATTATACCTTCAGGCACTTAAAGCCTCTTTATCCAAACTGAATAGCTACTTAATAAGGGCCCTTTATAACCATTCCAAAATGTACTTTCAAAACAAAAGTTAGAAAGCTCCAGAATCCATTCTCAAGAAGGATCTGTTTCTGTTCAAAACCTGTCCTGACCTTTTTGTTGAAGAAGAACAAAATAATGTCGTAACAAAAACACAAGTGGCTGCCAACGGAAGAGAGGGGGGAAAAAAAGTTCCTGTAAGGGACTGAAACAATAAATCTCCTCTCTGCTGAACTCCCAAAGGGAGTGTGTGTATTTCCTCCCGTTCTTTATCAGAGCCCCCAAAATAAGTAGGAATGGGTAGTGGCTGTCCACAAGCAGTATACCTTTTCCATTTGCTAGTAAGGGCCTTCCAGGCTGAGAGGGAGTTGTCTCTGCCTGACTCTGGAGAGAGAAGTCCCTCAGACCATCCAGAGGCACCATGGAACTGCTTCAAGTGACAATTCTTCTTCTTCTTCTGTCTCATCTCAGCAGCAGTGAAAACCACACAGGTACCATTTTCTTTTATTCTCCTCATGAGTCTCATGATGTGGATTAGAAACAAGTAGTAGCAGGGCTCTCTGCCTCAGTTTACCTTCAGGCACTTCCCCTGGGAACTTCAGTGCAGCGGTTCACTTTGCCAGCTGAGCATGCGAACATCGCCTTGCGGCGCATGGAGAAGGCTTCCCTGAGAGGAAATTTGCTTTCACAAAGGGAACTATTTGCTAGGGCAGTTGCCTTCCAGTGTATTTGGTGGAATCTTAAAGGTACTGGGAATGCGCAATGGCCTTTTTAGAGAATGAAAACATCTGGGGATAGAATGAAGGTTAAAAATGTACCATTGCTCTCTACTAAGATTATCATGCATGGGTGAGAGGCTGTAATCAGAAATACCGCATTGCAGATGCTAGCCTGTATTTGTCCCAACTGTCTCTCAGCTCTGATAGATAGAGAGGCTGGGTAGGAAAGTGAATCTTACTACGTGCAGAGTAAACAGAGGGAGAATCATTTGATTAAGATTTATGGACTTTTGCTGCAGAAATATGCGCATTTCTAAACACATGCATACTACGTCTTGCATGATATTTCAGGACTTTATAGACATGAAAATGCTACACATTGGCTGCAGGTTAAGAAACTCAAATAAAGGACATATATGTATATACCTGAGCCTGATTATACTAATGACTAGTTGCAAGAAATGATCACGTTTGACTTTTAACCCTTTTGGGATGATTCAAAGTAAACAATTAGGAGTAATCCATATTTAGTAGGCTCCTACCCTGTCCTGGGTTATGCAGGGAATACAAAAATGAGTAAGACACTATCTTTTTTCCACAGTGGCAAATGTCCTAAAAATGGGAGGAACAGCATGTGACTTGAATACAAGACAAATTTAATAACAGTGTAAACCAAAGTACAAGCTATCATAAAAGAATTTAGTTGGGGAAAACTGATTTTTCACGACGAGGGCCCTGGGGAAATAAACTCGATTCTAATTGTATTGTATTTGTGCTCTTTTCAAAAGTTTGAAACCTATAAAATGTATACTGATGAAGTTTAAAAAAAAAAGTCAGCACATTCCTCCTTGAGTAACATTTACCAGTAACGTCTCAAAATACCTATGGAAAATCAGGAAATCAGTATACATTCTAAAACACTTAAAATCACATATTCTTGCTTACCATGTGTCTTGGAATGTCCCGAGTTAAACTGCAGCAGGTAAGAAGGCAAGAAAAGCCATTTAGAAGAGTTATTCAAACTGATTTTTAAAATAAGGACTATTTATGAAGTGCCGCAGAAGTCAATACAGCAGCTTATAAGTAACATCAGTATGCACGGGAAAGATTGCTAGACATTCCCAAGCCAGGAGAAACACTGCTCACAAATACATGCCAGTTAATATAAATTCCGAAAGTCTGGGCTAGAATGCTTGCCGTTCCAGGTCTGCAAGCATCAGTGAGTACACCGCTTTGCTGGCATTGTTAAACTCTAGATGGATTACATGTCCTTCTGAAAGCAAAATAGAAAGAGATCAATAAGTGTGGTCTGCAAAAGCTGGCCAAGAAGAAGGCATGAAGGTCAAGGACAACCTAGATTGCCGGGCAGATTTTTCTATTTTGGCCATTTTGGGAAAATACTAGTCTCCTTTATTTTACTGGCGATGAGCCCAGGTTCTCTGTTAGCGGTGTCTTCTCTCTAATGAACCGTTAACCTAGGTAAAACCAACGTTCCCATTTAAGTAGAGACAATAGCTACATAATAACTATCTCCTTCAACCTCTGCAAACAGCCTACTCATTCATTTATGGTCATATGAAGTAATTTCCCATTTAAGCAGCGACAATAACAACTATCTCCTTAATCTCGACCAATAGCCTACTTGTTACATATAGCCAGATCCCCGCGAAACTCCCTCATTTACTTAGAAGCGAAAGCCACAGCTCAGGAGCATAACTTGATCATCCAAGTGTTGCCTAGGAGGATTCAGAAGAGATTTTCCAACTCCGTGTCTGATTTTGTTACACCTGGTTTTCGCTGTGTTGTGTTTTTCCTTCCCAGATTGAGCACAGGAAATGAAGCATTTCCTACACTGATTTAGTAAGTTCTTTCTCTTCTACCAGAAACACGTTCGTTTCAGAGTGTCACATTTCCTAAATGTGGAATGATTAACACACTTCAGCAACAGAGTTGATGACTCGGGTGAAGACAGAGGCATTTCATCTGCCTTAAATTCCCAAGTTTTCAGGCAGATTCGTGCTTTCCCACATAGTAATTTAGCTCCAGAAAATGATCTTTTAGAGAAATTGACTACTTTGCTTTTCCTTTTGATATTTTTTCTTTCAGTCTCAGATTTAAATACATAATGGGTTGTCTGGAAAGCCATGACACATTTTTGTATAGAAAAACAGAAAAATGCGCCGTGACTTTCCTGACAACCTAATACAATATAGGCTTGTGCTCTTTGTGAAGAATCAAGGGACTCTTTCTACATGGACACAAGTCACTTTTCAGTTGGCTTGTGGTATAATATTTTGTAATCTCCAATTCAGAATGCTCTTCTATTGAATATGTATGGAAGTTCCTGAAAGGGAACTGTCATTCTTTTCTAGGTTTCTAAATTATATTTAAAACTGAACACACCCCTACAGTGGCTTTTAAACCCCTTTGGCTTCTAAGTTTAGATCAATAAGCTTTTGACTGTCAAGACTGAGAGAAGTTAAATGAATAATGATTCCAAGAAAAGGGAGGCCCTGAAAACAATATGTATTTACTCTTCAAGTGCTGTTTGCCCTTTAACCTTACATTAATTTAAAAAGGATTAATATCTTTTAAGTATTTGCAGACGGGAACAAACACCATTTTCTTTATTCACTGGTATCTGAAGAAATATTTATTTTCTTAGAAAAATTTATTTGTTAGTGATTGTGCATTCAATTTCATGAAATAAAAACTGATTGAAAACACTGTAAACAGACACTATGCTAAACACTATAGGTTTATAGAGATGAATAAGATTCAGTTCTTGCCCTAGAAGCTGGAGAGGGAGGAGGTAAACTAAGTTATTATAAGTTGGATTATTTTGCAGGCGATTAAAGAGGTAATTAAAGAATAATATGAAAAATTCAAAGCTAGCCTGGTTTTGAGTACAGATATATCAGAAAAGCTTTCATATAGAAGTTGAAATTGTGGTGAGCTTTCAAAGTTGAAAACCAAGAGTTTCCATATGGATGAAATTTCTTGAGTAGGAATATTGAAATATCTGCGTATTCTAGTCTAGAAATGTAAAGAGGCCACATGTCAGGCATTATCAAGTATTAGGAAATAAGTTTGAAAATAAGGCTCCAGGAAATACTGAATATCAAAATGAGAGATATTGACTCCTATAATGAACTCATTTAGAGCCCGTGGACGTGTTTGAATAGGGAACTATATGGTCAGGGTTATAAACTGGGAAGACTCACCTGTCAGCACAGTATAAACTGGATGATTGGAGTCAAGAACGGTCAAGTTAAAGGAGTAGTTCAACTGCCACTGCAGGTCTGAGAATCCATCAATAAAATGAAAATAAGGGTCTGAGAAGCACAACGAGCATGATTTGACGTATTATTGACTAACAATGAGGAAGAAGGTGACCAAAATGTGGAGACAGGGTTATTTGAATAGTAGAAGGAGGGAAGTGGCTTAAGAACAGAAGAAAAGATAGAAGGAGACAACTTAGGGAGAAGAATGAGGTTTGATGGTTGACATGGTGATTCTGAAACCCTGACTCTGTTAAAGCAGAAGTGGCGAGTGATAAGTAAAAATTGTCTGGTGCATAGTTGGGCCACCTGGACATGAAGAGGAAAGTGAGGAGTGATGTTCTATAGACCCAATGCCAAAGAGTTCTTAATCTTGCCCTCTGTAAAATAAATAACCTAGAGAAGCCATTCCTTTCTCTTCCAGATGTCACATTTCCAACTTTCTATGGCATTTACATTCCAATTTTGTCGTAGTTATTTGTGTAAATGTCTTATCTTCTCTACTACCCCTCCTCTCCTCTATAAACACCTTGAAAGTAGAAGTCATAGTAATTATTCTAAACACGTGATAAGGATATAGCTAGCAACTGAATGTGGACATAAGTGAAATAGTTGCCTTGTTATTTTCATCTTTAATTTTGTCCTACAACACTCCCGTAGCAGTTTACCACCTTGTCCTTGTGAAAGGGTTATGGACAGGTATGCATCACAGTTATAACCAAGGTATAAGTGGATTATTTTGATTCTAATCTATGAAAGGGGGCACCAAATATAAGGGAAAAGGCTTCATGTCACAGGTCAGCCCGTTCTCACACCCAAGCAAGAAGAGAGATGGCATGAGTAGATGGACAGCATAGTAGTAGGTAATGATAATTTACAACAAATCTGGGAAATTTCTCATAACCGTTGGGAAAAAGAACACCTAAGTAGATATGGCTCTACTTTTCCTTTTTTAGTGTCAAACACTTGAGGCTGTACCTTTTCTTAGTTAGAAATGTTCAAGAAGATACTCTATTCTCAGTTAACTTCTTAAAAATACAAAATGACTTTTTTAGAAAAGCGAAGTTCACAAAAAGAAAAGTTAGAAGAGTTGTTTACTTAAATATCACACATTCTTACTTCCTGTGTTATTTTAGGCAACATGAGCTGTTTCAGAGATCATTCTGCTTAGTACTTCTTCATCTCCAATAGATGATCTATCATAGAAAGTGTAAACCAATACGAAAAAAATCCAACGGGGAAAGTATTTAGTCCCCAAATGACTTCTTTTTAAAAAATATGTATTTATTTACATAATTTTAGTTGTCATTATTATTATTTAATTTGATGAGAGAAGGAGAGAGAGAGAAAGAGCGAGAACAAGCCACTAGGTTTGAGACTTGAACTGTGGTCGGCCATGTGGGAGTCCAGCATCTTCACCACCATGCCACCTACCAGTCCCCCAAACTATTTCTTTAACATTCTTTTTTTACTGCTCATTTTTAAATGTTC